TCACTTCATCGCCTTGAAGTTGTGCGGGATTCCTAGGTTTTGGGAACCCATGTGAGGTGGCTCTAAGTATTCCAACGTCTAGAGCTTTTAGGTATGCCTCCATGCGAATTTTCCAATATGGAAAATCATCCCCCTCGAAGATAGGAGGAGGTCCATCCCCATGAGACATCTTGCTCTAAGCGATTAAGCTTAAAAACGTGAGCACGACGCTCCGATACCAATTGAAAGGATCAAGATGCCCAAGAGGGGGGGTGAATTGGGCTAATTCTAAATTTCTTCGCAATAAACAAGTCATATGGTTAGCCCAATTAACTCCTTGTGCTTAGAGAAGTGTTTCTATTGATCTAACGCACAAAAGTTTCGCAACCTAGTTCCAATCCTACTCTAGCATGGCAATTCTAGGAATGTAAATGACAAGAATTGAAATGCTCCAAGTAAATGCTCAAAGTAAAGAGAGGAGAGGAAACGCGGTGATGTTTTGCTGAGGTATCGGAGAGTCGCCACTCCCCACTAGTCCTCGTTGGAGCACCCGCGCAAGGGTGTAGCTCCCCCTTGATCCGCGCAAGGATCAAGTGCTCTCTACGGGTTGATTCTTTGACACTCCGTCGCGGTGAATCACCCACAACCGCTCACAACTTGAGTTGGGTCATTCACAAGCTCTCCGGATGATCACCAAGCTCCCAATCACCACCAAGCCGTCTAGGTGATGGCGATCACCAAGAGTAACAAGCACGAACTCTCACTTGACCACGACAAGCCTAGGGAGAAGGGTGGATGCACACTTTGCTACTCTTGATCTTCACCAATGAGGGTTCTCTTTGGATTCTCAAATCTCAATCACCTCACTAGGACCTTGCTCTTATTGGCACTCTCTAAGGTGTGTTTCAGCTGTTGAAATGAGCAAAAGTCGCTCCACACACGAGTGGAGCTTCTATTTATAACATGGGCTGAAAAACAAACCGTTATGTGCCTCTGCGGGGTGACCGGACGCTCCGGTCATGTTGACCGGACGCTCCGGTCAGTTCAACCCACACACCAGTGTTTACGTGTTGACCGGACGCTGGCAGAGTCCGGTCACCACTGACCGGATGCGTCCGGTCCCATTTTTCCCTTACTGGATTCTTACTGTACTCGACCGGACGCTGGATCCTCAGGGTCCGGTCAGCACTGACCGGACGCGTCTGGTCGTAGATTCACTCTTCTGGAACCTTACTGGAGTCGACCGGACGCTGCCTCTCAGCGTCCGGTCACTTAACCACTCAGCGTATGGTCGCACCAGATGCAATCTCCTTGGTCAAATGAGCTAACCGGACCCTGTGGCCAGCGTCCGGTTGCACCGGAGCCAGAGTCCGGTCAGTATTTGACCCTCCATTCACTTCCAACTCTCGATCATACGTGAATGAAGTTTGCTCCATTGGATCTTAGGCATATGTAGGAGCTACCTAGCGCTAGTTTTAACAAGTGTGCACCACACCTAACTCACTAGACTCATCTAGGTCAAGCTACCCGTCCATACCCCCCTTAATAGTACGACCAAAGGAAAAACAAAGTCCTAAACTACTCTAAGTGTCTCTTCAACTCCAATCGACACTTAGAACTAGTCATCCTTAACCTTATCGTCCATCCTTTGAAAACCGAAACGATTTCCATCGTAGGGGCATGACAACCATGATTGCCCAATCGATCTCCATTACCGTGAGCTAACTTAATTGCCTCTGCAAAACACACGTTAGTCATAGTAATCAAACATTGTCATTAATCACCGAAACCCAATTAGGGGCCTAGATGCTTTCAAGCTGCTTTATACTTCAGAGCTTCATTCAGCATGTCATATGTAGCATTACATCGGTGGGGAACATCTAGAACCAGCCCCGACTTGCCTTTGAGAGCTAATGCCTGAACGACCGAGTTGAATGTTTGCACACGTGAAGGTGTAGATGTGACAACCTTGATAATGTCCCTTACTTTTCCAACTACATTTGGTATGACTTGCAATCCTGCTTGAACCATTATATTGAGCACATGAGCGGCACATCTGACATGTAGGTGTTCACCCTTAAAGAACATCTGAGCACCTAGAGCGGCACGCAAGTCTTTAATCGCTCTGTTGTTCATGCTTGCATTATCTAGACTCACCGTGAACACACGATCAACCAAATCCCACTCCATCAAGCAAGCCGTGATGCCATCTTGCACAACAAATGAGTTGTGGGGAAAACAGATCTGCTTGAATGCAATAATCTTCTTATGGAGCTCAAACTCTTCATCAATGTAATGAGCTGTAACTTCGGGATACCCCAAATTTTGGTTAGACGACCATAAATCAGCAGTTAAACTGACATGAGACTTCAACTTTGTGATCTTTTGATGTAGATGTAATTTCTCTTCTTCATACAACATGAGACAGTCTGCACAAACAGTTTGTCGACCCACCACATTGAATGAAGGCTGACAATAATTCAACATCTCTTTCCAAGCAGGATCATCTGCTTTTCGAAATGCAACCTCAGCACTAAGGAAGTACTTTGCAATTAGACCTCTGAATACAACATGATCAAATACAGAATTATCTCTATCAGACTTTTTCTTCAAAGTTGCTAAGAACCTATCCCTGTCCTCTTGGGGGATATGATGACAATAATATCCAATATGCCTATTCAAGTGAGTTATCCCTTTCCCTGACACAGAAGACAACTGGAGCTTACAGTACTTGCAGATAGGCTTTTCAATTCCATCAACTATCTCTGAGTCAACATAAGCCCAAACTTTAGCCCTCTTTTTTCCTCGATCGGGTTTCGACCGGTCAAGTGGAGATAGCATCATGACTATCCTCAACTTCGCCATCATTATTCGATGAAACCCTCTCCATAATACTAGACACTCGGACTAACCAACTCAAAGTTACCAAATTGTAGTTTGTCATAAACTACATAAACATAGGTCAGCTATGGAGTGAACTACAACACTGACATACTAGAGTAAAATCTACCGAATAGCTAACAAAGGGAACACACAAAAGTCAGGAACAAAAGAATAGCTAACATATGTAGAAGAATAGCTAAAGTAAAATCAAAGCATTTACGAATATAGGTACATTTTACTATTACAGTTCACAATCAAAGCATTGCTGACTCTCGACATTTAATTAAATAATGATGGCAACTTTAGAATGCTGATGGTAAATAATAGGATAGGAAACAACGATATCAGCTAGTAGTTGAAAACAACTCATTGAGAGCCACATGGCGATTCAACTATATCTAAGACCTCATCAAGAAGAAAATGCCACTAGATACAACTACTCTAGTACTCTCAACTCTGCATATTCTAGATGAGTAAACAACTCCATAGCAGTAGTTGAAAACAACGGGATTTTGATTTCCACATTTTCCAACATAGTGAAATCTACCTACCATTGCAAACTGTACCCTTCAAAGGTACAAATTCATATCCGTTTTAAGCGAAGTTTGTTCTATTATGCTAAAACATATAATCGAGATAGCAGCTGTGTAATGGATGCAAAGAAAAGTAAATGAAGAACAGAAGCAGATATTGACCATGAACATGCATTAGCACATGAAAGGTGAGATTAGCGAGGGGCTTACCACATATAAAACAGCAAAAAGAGAGACGGTGACAAGAATAAGGGGGCCCAAATGCCGTAAAAGAAGGTACTGCCAAGTGATAGTAGTAACTTTGCCAAAGGAACAAGACCCCGTGAAAAGAAATAAATAATTGTAAGGGAAAGGCAAGTCACTGATTATTTTATTATCATATTGTTACTGATCCGATAACCGGTACTAGACAAAAATTCTTGAAGAATAATGATAAGGTGAAAAGCAGAACACATTGTTGATTATCGATTATCATATAGTATTGCTAAAGAGATAGTTGACTCTGGTGAATATTCTTCTGAACACAACTATTTTTAACTAATAAACATGTACATGAGCATGGGTTCAACGATATATACCTTCAACTTGCAGCCATACATCAAGCCACGAAAATCGCTCCCAAAATAGCTAGGCAACCCAGGGGAACCGACCTGGATCCCATCCTGCAGCCGCAAAAGAACCATATCACGATCAAATCACGCGAACCATATCATGACCAAAATCACGCGGTGCTGAGGGACAATTCCTGGAGAAAAGATCAAGAAACCCACCTTGAATACTTGATCGGGGGATGCGTCGAGGGAGAAGTCGTCGAGCCGCCGCCAATGATCTTGGAGCGTCGAGGGATCTTGGAGCGTCGGGGGATGCGCCGTTGCCCGCGATGCATCGGGGGATGTGCCGGCGTGGATTTTGGAAACGAGTGCCCCGCCGCCGCCGATGCCGGTGCCTCCACAGCTCACGCCCTCCACCCAGCCGGCCGGTCCTAGCGCTCTATTGCGAGTTTGCGACCAGGAGTCTGCTATCGATAGAATAGGAAGGCCCTTCCATTAGGATCCACGGGCCGATCCATTCTCACGATCCACACATGACCTCTACAATCTAATCCGTGCCAAGCCTTTTAAAAAATAATCCAATCCGATTCAACCGATTCTTAAAAGAACCCGTACACAATCCATATGTATGAGCCCACGAGTTTGGGGCCTTATGACCCTTGGGCTTAGCCAATCCATTTTCATGCCTCCCGCCTGCAAAACCGCGGGCCGAATCCCGCCGCGCCGCCTGCCCACCGGCGGCAGCCACCGCCCGCGACCTCTACATAACCCAGTAATCCGCCACTCCCCGAGCCCACGCAAGCCCCCGCGTCCTCCCTCCTCTCCGCCCCGTCCCAGACCCTAGCCCCCTCCGGCCTCCGCGGGAGGGCGGCGCCGGGGCAGGCGCAGTTCCCGCGGGGCGGCCTCCTCCCGCGCCGCGGCGGCCGCGCGCTCCGCGTGCGCGCGTCGGTGGCGATCGAGAAGGAGAACCCCCGAGAGCGAGCCGCCCCCGACGTTCCTGCGCGAGGACGGCCGCGGGGCGGGCTCCGGGTCCGTGCGGGAGCGGTTCGAGGCCATGATCCGCCGCGTCCAGGGGGAGGTCTGCGCCGCGCTGGAGGAGGCCGAGGGCAGCGGGCAGCGGTTCGTCGAGGACGTCTGGTCGCGCCCCGGCGGGGGCGGGGCTATCAGCCGGGTGCTCCAGGACGGCCGCGTCTTCGAGAAGGCCGGGGTCAACGTCTCCGTCGTGTACGGGGTCATGCCGCCCGACGCGTATCGCTCGGCCAAGGGGGAGGCCAGGAAGAACGGGGCCGCGGATGGCCAGAAGGCCGGGCCCGTGCCATTCTTCGCCGTGGGGATTAGCTCGGTAAGTGGCTGTCCTGGTGCACTGGTTTGCATTTCCATTATATGTGAACTCTTAATTTTAAGTAGAGATCACAATACCAAGCTGCTGTTTTAAGTTCCCTTGCTCGTAGTAGAACAGTACCTTTATTTATATGATTGGCGCCAGGAATCAGGATAGCATTTAAGCTAATTTAGGTCGTTTTAGCTTCACAAGTGCATTCATAGTGTATAAACTTCCCATTTGCTATTACTGGTGCTAAGAGTGTGTTGTCTGCATTGACATCTCTAGTGTAATTTAACTGTATAATTATTTTTTCACCGCTAAAGCATAAAATGCTTGGTTTTCATTTTGATTTAGCTAAGCAGTTGAGAGATGAATTTAATGAATCTGTTCTTACTTCTTGGTGTGTGATCAGATTGTATGCCTTTCTTTGATTCACCTTGTTCTACTCTATTTGACATATACCATTGACGTCTAGGCTTTGTGATACTGATAATGTTGATCTGCTAATATTCAGGGTTACAAAATGTTTCCTCAATTTATATGGTACTTTAATTTTCTAGGGTTACAAAATGTTCCCAAGAATCCATTTGCCCCAACGTTGCATTTTAACTACCGTTATTTCGAGACAGATGCACCAAAAGGTATCTTATTCAATGCTAGCAGAAATACTGTGATCTAATATTAATCTTATTCAATGCATCAAAAGGTATCTTATTCAATGCTAGCAGAAAATTTTACCCTTCAATATGTACAAAGACTGCTGCAAACTAGATTGCTTTTATGCAGGCCTGAAAATGGATTGGCTAAGCCCAAGGGTCATAAGGGCCCCCAACTCGTGGGCTCATATATATGGATTGTATACGGGTTCTTTTAAGAATGGGCTGAATCGGATTGGATTATCCTTTAAAAGGCCTGGCACGGATCGGATTGTAGACGTCATGTGCGGATCGTGAGAATGGATCGGCCCGCGGATCCTAATGGAAGGGCCTTCCTATTCTATCGATAGCAGACTCCCGGTCGCAAACTCGCAATAGAGCGCTAGGGCCGGCCGGCTGGGTGGAGGGCGTGAGCTGTGGAGGCACCGGCATCGGCGGCGGCGGGGCACTCGTTTCCAAAATCCACGCCGGCACATCCCCCGATGCATCGCGGGCAACGGCGCATCCCCCGACGCTCCAAGATCCCTCGACGCTCCAAGATCATTGGCGGCGGCTCGACGACTTCTCCCTCGACGCATCCCCCGATCAAGTATTCAAGGTGGGTTTCTTGATCTTTTCTCCAGGAATTGTCCCTTTGCACCGCGTGATTTTGGTCATGATATGGTTCGCGTGATTTGGTCGTGATATGGTTCTTTTGCGGCTGCAGGATGGGATCCAGGTCAGTTCCCCTGGGTTGCCTAGCTATTTTGGGAGCGATTTTCGTGGCTTGATGTATGGCTGCAAGTTGAAGGTATATATCGTTGAACCCATGCTCATGTACATGTTTATTAGTTAAAAATAGTTGTGTCCAGAAGAATATTCACCAGCGTCAACTATCTCTCTTCAAAGAATACCATATGATAATCGGATAATCATAAAAGCGTTCTGCTTTTCACCTTATCATTATTTCATCAAGAATTTTTGTCTAGTACCGTTTATCAGATCAAGTAATAATATGATAATAAAATAATCGTTGACTTGCCTTTCCTTACAATTATTTATTTCTTTTCACTGAGGTCTTGTTCCTTTGGCAAAGTTACTACTATCACTTGGCGATTACCTTCTTTCCGCATTTGGGCCCCCCTTATTCTTGTCACCGTCTCTCTTTTTTTCTTTGTTTTATATGTGGTAAGCCCCCTGCTAATCTCACCTTTCATGTGCTAGTGCATGTTCATGGTCGATATATCCGCTTTCTGTTCTTAATTTATTTTTTCGCTTGCATCCATTACCAGGTCGCTATCCGATTATATGTTTTAGCATAATAGAACAAACTCGCTTAAAACGGATATGAATTTGTACTTCGAATGGTACAGTTGCAATGGTAGCAAGATTTCACTATGTTGGAAAATGTGGAAATCAAAATCCCGTTGTTTTCAACTATCGCTATGGAGTTGTTTACTCATCGGAATATGCAGAGTTGAGAGTACTAGAGTAGTTGTATCTAGTGGCATTTTCTCACCGATGAGGTCTTAGATATAGTTGAATCGCCGTGTGGATCTCGAATGAGTTGTTTTCAACTACTAGTCTGATATCGTTGTTTCCTATCCTATTATTTACCATCAAGATTCTAAAGTTGCCATCATTATTTAATTGCTTGAAGAGTCGACAATGCTTTGATTGTGAATTTGTAATAGTAAAATATACCTATATTCGTAAATGCTTTGATTTTACTTTAGCTATTCTTCTACATATGCTAGCTATTCTTTTGTTCCTGCCTTTTGTGTGTTCCTTTGTTAGCTATTACGGTAGATTTTACTCTAGTATGTTTGGTTGTAGTTCCTCCATAGTGACCTATGTTTCGTAGTTTATGACAAACTATAGTGGTAACCCTGAGTTGGTTAGTTTGAGTGTCCGGTATTGTGAAGAGGGTTTCATCGGCAACAACAAAGCAGGTTGAGGATAGTCTTGATGCTATCTCCATTGACCACTCACCAAGGCCTACCAGGAAAAAGAGGGCTAAAGTTTGGGCTTATGTTGACTCAGAGATAGTTGATGGAATTGAGAAGGCTGTCTGCAAGTATTGTAAGCTCCAGTTGTCTTCTACGTCAGGGAAATGGATAACTCACTTGAATAGGCATATTGTATATTATTGTCATCATATCCCCCAAGAGGACAGGGATAGGTTCTTAGCAACTTTGAAGAACAAGTCTGATAGATACTTCTGTATTTGATCTTGTTGTATTCAGAGGTCTAATTGCAAAGTACTTCCTTAGTGCTGAGGTTGCATTTCGAAAAGCAGATGATCCTGCTTGGAAAGAGATGTTGAATTATTGTCAGCCTTCATTCAATGCGGTGGGTCGATAAACTGTTCGTGCAGACTGTCTCATGTTGTATGAAGAAGAGAAATTACAGCTACATCAAAAGATCACAAAGTTGAAGTCTCATGTCAGTTTATCTGCTGATTTGTGGTCGTCTAACCAAAATTTGGGGTATCTCGAAGTTACAGCTCATTACATTGATAAAAAGTTTGAGCTCCATAAGAAGATTATTGCATTCAAGCAGATCTCTTTCCCCCACAACTCATTTGTTGTGCAAGATGGCATCACGGCTTGCTTGATGGAGTGGGATTTGGTTGATCGTGTGTTCACGGTGAGTCTAGATAATGCAAGCGTGAACAACAGAGCGATTAAAGACTTGCGTGCCGCTCTAGTTGTTCAGATGTTCTTTAAGGGTGAACACCTACATGTCAGATGTGCTGCTGATGTGCTCAATATAATGGTTCAAGCAGGATTGCAAGTCATACTAAATGCAGTTGGAAGAGTAAGGGACATTATCAAGGTTGTCACATCTACACCTTCACGTGTGCAAACATTCAACTCAGTCGTTCAGGCATTAGGTCTGAAAGGCAAGTCGGGGCTGGTTCTAGATGTTCCCCGCCGATGTAATGCTACATATGACATGCTGAATGAAGCTCTGAAGTATAAAGCAGCTCTCAACAGATTCGTAGCAGAGCAATATCAGGATGTTCCTAGTGAACAAGATTGGCAGAAAGCTGAAGCACTTCATGAATTTCTAGAACAGTTCAGTGAGGCTACCAAAGCATTTTCTGCGGATAGGCATCCAACAGCCCACCTCTTTCTAAAGACGTTGATGGTAGTCCGAGAGGTTTTGCTTGATGAGACATGGAATACTCAGTGAACTGCTCAATGAGTTGGCTGAAGCTATGCATACCAAGTTTCATAAATACTGGGCTGAGCCTAGTATGATACTTCTCATAGCTACTGTCCTAGATCAATCAATGAAAGCTGACTTTGTCAGGTTCTTTTACTTGGACTGTTGAGAATGCAGAAGTGGAAGCGAAGATGAGAGAGCTTAGACATTACTTGAAGAAATATTATCTAGAGTATGAGAGGATTGTGAGGAGCAACACCGTACCTATCTTCATTCAATATGAAGAGGAAGCTTTAAGTCAGGGTGATTCAAGTTCTTCTGGACTTCATGGCAAACAGCGTGTAGAGTTTGCATTTGCTCAATTTTCATCACAAAACTCGAGTACTCGCTCAGAAAGATTAGAGTTGGATATTTATTTGGATGATTCTAGAGTACTGGTGAGACCGACAGAGAACTTTAATGTTCTAGCATGGTGGAAGAAAAACTCGGATGCCTATCCTGTCTTTGATGGCCAAAGACTTCTTGTCTATTCCTGTTAGCACAGTGTCCTCAGAATCTGCTTTTAGTGATGCAGGAAGGATACTTGGCAAAAATAGAACATCTCTCTCTCCGGAAACTCTCGAAGCGTTGTTTTGTGCGAATGATTGGTTGATTGGCTTTAATGATGCAGATGAAGGTAATTGTCATATTTACGATACTATATTGCAAAGCTGGTATTGTTTACAATAGTTGTTTAATATGTTTGTCTTGTTCAATGCAGGTCAACCAATGACCGGACAACGTATGTTTGAATCTGACAAAGAAGAAGATGATTGACAGGTTAGTGCCCTGATGCAAATATTTTTGTTGGTTTACTGTGATCAAGAGAGTCCTCCTTAAGATCTGACTGATCTGTCAGGCTGAGCTCAAAGTTCAGTGTTCTAGGCGAAGCGAAAGGAAGGCGCGCAGCGAAGAAAAATTGCGTAGCGTAGCAAGTATTTCTGATCAGCGGATTCTGTTTTCATGGGCGGCACGCCGACACAATCTCAAATCAAGAATCACACGGCTATGAGACTGAGAATTAGGCGCTAGAGGCGCTCTCTTTTTCTCTGCTTTTCGTCAGCATGGTCACCTTCGTATCACACACCTTTCTTTCCTTCCACTTCTTGTCTGGGCCACTTTAGTTATTCATAATAGAAGAATCATGATGCTTTCATACGAGTCCAGTAGGGTTTGCATTGCCAGAAAGCGAGGCGAGCTTGAACATGTCGTTTTAGTATTAGTAGTAGGTGTGATAGATAGCCAAGGAATATAAGAGTTGACAAGAGCGGTTTATGCAGATATATTTGTATAGGTTTTGAAAAATAGGTAAAGTAAAGTAGTTGACAAAGCAAGTAGGAATAGGTCATGTCACAGATAGGCAAGTATAGAAGCAGGAGAATCTGATAGACATTTGTGAATAGCAAGGCCAAGCTGTATACATATAAGCATTTTAAGGAGTTGTTTGTTGGCATATGGTTTGTTGTCACCACCAACAATTGTTGAGAAACATAAAAAAGGTAGGCATATTGTTCACGTTTAGGTCGGTATAGAAGTCAAGCACGAGATAGGTGTTTACAAGCTAGCTAGGGTTTCTAATAGGTATAAAAGGGTAAGCTAATAACCAAGTAGTAGGGATAGGTCAACGCAAGTCACGGGTAGCCAAGAGAGACGTATTTAAGACTTAGGCAGTCATGTCAAGTAAAGTATAGCTTAGATAGTTCCTATAGAAGTATAGCTAGCCAAGTGACTAGGTTTAGCGGAGATAGAAATAGCGGGCGAGATATCAGGAGACAGGACTAGGACTTTGAACGAAGCAGGAGCTTGGTGTTTTAGCTAGCTTGGTACAGTAGGAAGAGAAAAGTGTTAAAGTATTTTTGAGAGGCAAGGAACTTCAGTAGTTGTTTACAAGGTATGCATTGTTTTATTGTAATGGGGTATGCCTTCTTTTCTTTGCCTTTTTTTGTGAGGTAGTCTCATAACTTTTCACGTGTAGGCATGGGAAAATCGAGGTTTAGGACTAGGCGTATTTCATAGTACAAAGCATGAGCTAGGGCTAGAAAAACATTGTCTTGAAAAACGACTTGCTTTTTGAAACTATACATCGGACTATCGGGCATTCGGAAAAATCCAAAGATCGATAGGCCTAGTTCTTTTCCTTTGCTTATGGAATGAAATAGCAATTGTTTGAAGAATCCTCTTCTGGTGGCTGTGGTCAAAGTGAATATGGGCACCCGAATAAGTTGATCAAACTCTTGGCATCTGATTAGAATTCTAGTTGGTATCGACTGTCATACTCATCCTCCCCTCTTTCAAATTGAGTACCACGACCATGTGACTAGGCTTTCCCCACGACCGAAACACCTACTCCATTACCTCTTCCACTAACCTCGACAAAGGGAATGTACGCTTTCCAACCTAGATATCTGCGCAGCTTTCCTCATTAGAAAGAATAGATAGCCCTATGCTTTAGCATAACTATCAATTTTTTTACCATTTGCTACAGTCACAACCATTGGATTAGTTTTCACTAATTTACACTTAATCCCATCAATCACCACTTTGGGTTGATAAAGTGTGGGTGCTCCCACATGCTAACAAAGGCAAAGATAGCTTTATTAGCTACTACTTCCCCTTTCAATTTCATTGTAGAAAGATTAGGATTAGATGAGGTTGCACACATGGACACAATGGCCTCATCGACTTCAACTTCTTCTACTTGCACCGTATTCACATCCACACCCTCTACAACCCTGGTTCACTACATCACCAACCTCAAACTCACCTTCTTCACGCCTACCAACATGTGTACCTTGATTTTGTTTTATATATTGATGCCCACTTATCACCACATTGAAAACATAGCCCTAAAGCTCTCCTTTGTGAAATCTAGTTGTAGTAAAGTAGATTTGAAAGCAATTTGGATCCCAAGAGCACTCTTATTCCTCGGCAAAGGGTTCACTCTTTATCCATCAATACGAGACGAGCTATTAATACGATAGATATATTCCTTGAGAACGTTCTTTGCCTAGCTCATCTCTGTGAAAGCAGATAGTCTTTCCCATCACTCCAATCTTTACTTACCTACCTTGGCTTAACTCATTAACTTCCATAGTGGGTTATCTATAACTCCTTATGAAGGCCTTCATTCTTCTCTTATTTCAACTCCGATGAAGGCACTGTCCCCTGTCAACTAGAAAGGTAGTAAGCAAATCTTGAATGAAATCCATTAGCTTAACACATGCCTACGTTACAAACATTAAGGGAAGGGTAAGGTTGATTCATTTTCATTTGGTTTTTCATTCATATTCATGCATAGGAACTTAGCTTTGAAAGAGGATGTGCGGTAAAATGGATTATATAGCATTCCTCTCTTTTCTTGCATTTCTGAATTTCCTATCCTAGTTTAGCTCATGGTGGTTCCCTTGATCCCGGTTTAGTAGGAATTGTTTTCAACTAAGGAGGTTGATTGAGCAGAAGTTGGAAATGATCCGAGTGGCGATAATCTTTTGATCTAATCACAAAATGTCAATATCGAATTCATCGAAAACAATTGAGAGGAAAGAGATAAGCACATTCTATGTCCATCTAATGGAAATGGTTGTCAAGAATCTATAGTGTTCTATTCAAATCAATCAGAGGAACCTCTTTTAGGATAAATCACGTTATCGTTACTCTTTCGTGTCGTAATTCTTTGGGATGAAAACCAAGAACTAAACGATCAAGAAAGAGGCAAATGAGAAAGAAGAAGGAGCGGGGTCTCGTGTCCGAAGAAAAAGGCAGTCAGATCTAGCATCTCTATATCTAATTGAGTGGAATAAAAACACATTATCGAAAGAGTTCTTTGAAGAAATTATGATTCGAGACGAAAGTGGTCGGGTTTCATTTCTATTTGAATCGAGCCGCGGAATCAAAGACATCTACCCAATCCTCGATTCATACAATGAAGGCTTTAAACCAAATAAGTTAGAGCATCCAAAAAGCGAGTGAAACAAGAAATTACCGAGAGCGAGCACGGTGGAAGAGGCTTGGGAATATGTTGAAAGATGGAAATGAAGAGAAGAGGTAAGAGGAAATTATATAGGCTTGCCTACAATCCCTTTCCTTGTCGGAAAAGCAATTTCACCCCTAACTTAAGATGCTTACCTACCACTACTAATTGGGCCGGAGGCAATGGCTTTAGGATATGCCCCGACCGAGCTTCTCTACACCGACCTTTCTTACGGTCTCACGAATTGGATTTGAACCAATATCCCTCTATCTTGGGAAACTATCCTTTTAGTAGATCGTGATTTGTGAGGATGAAGTAAAAGAGAGGTCCCTCTCATTCAATATCAATAGTTGACCTCTGGAAATATCAACAATGCCGAATCCACTATATATATGTAAATCCATTTTTTCGGCATCTTTCTTGGTCTTCGTCGTGCGGCTATACCTCGCAAGGATTTCTACCATCCCTCTTTTTCTAAATTGTTGTTCGCATAGTTCTATTAAAGAGGAGGATTTTCTCGACCAACAAACATAGGTCGAGTTTAGGTTTATCCTTCCCTTCTACTTACTTGAGAGTAGGGAGCAAAACTAGATAAGTCTTAAGCGAAGACTAGGTTTAATGATACCCTCCCCATTCGAATAGCGCTACGAGGAACTTCTACTATTCATTCTATCCACTATCTCTCGACAAATGAATCTGAATCAAAGTAGAGTAGAAGGCCGGACCTTAGGCGAATTTCGGTATCAAGAGATGAAAGTGAAAGGCGGAGGTATCCTTGGACCCTAGAAGCTAGTTCCGATATCCTCATTTCTTTGGACACCAAACATGCAACATATCCTCCATTGGCATTAACACATCATAGTGAAGCTTCCTTCATCGAAGCAGATCTTGAAAGAAGAAGTGACTAGTTGTCATTCCAAACTCCTTACTCTTCCTCGTCAATTTCATTGCCTTAATGGCGTGATCGATCCCTTTCTTCGATAAATGGAGCCGTGTGACGGTAGCAGTAGTCGTCGCTTAGTTTCTTTCCTGGTTGGCTAATGCTTAACACCGGTCGATACCATAAGTTATGGTAGTGCTCGCTAGGCAAATCCTATCGGTTCAACGGCGTCCTTAGTAGGAGCAGAAGGGATGTAGCGAGGAGCCGAAACCTACCGTTACGGAACCGTGGAAAAAGCGAAACCTAGCCTACGATCTCGAACTTCAATAACAACCATTACCTTACGTACCATTGGTGGGAAAGGAAGGTGCTTTTTGCCATAAGTAGATCTAGTGATTGACTCATTCATAGGCGAAAATCAATGCATCGAACCCTTTGCCGATCAAAAGATTAGGAACCGTCCTCCTTTTACCGGATACCCTTGCGAAGAAGGGCTCTAAATATCTCGTGACGTATGTTTCCTAGGATCTACTACATTAAAAAGTATTGGTTTGAGTTCTTTCGTGATAGGCCCTTGCAAGAAAATGCTTTGAAGGGGACCACCCATCTTTTCTTTGTTCTTCGCCCATTTTTCTCTTTCAAGTTGTCAAAGGAGAGTTTTCTTTCCACCTTGTAATGGGAATGTAAGCTCGACTTTGCCCTCATCGGATAAAGAGAGTACTAATCCACATGCACTGATTGGTATTCCTCGATTCCTTCTTCCCCCAGCTTGTTGCCCTCCATCCTGGACCATCTTATTCGAATACCGAGACTCTTGCATACTGAAAGAAGGTTCCTTACTTTATCTCGCAACAGGTACCCACATCTATCCATTCTTTTGATC